CGCGGTTCATGACACACTCAGCAAGGCGGAGAGGGCGGCTGTGGCAGCGGCCGTGAACATGATACTCATCAGGTGTCAATTGCAGAGGACCGAGGGGAGGATGAGAGCAGCCATTCGCGCACGCCGGAAGAAGACGCTGCAGTCCATGCATGTGGACGAAGACGGCAGTGGTGCCATTTGCGACGCCGTCCTTCAGGTGTGCTATGCCATGGGGTGTGGAGCATTTCCCAGAGCGACGGCCAGGTGGTGGATGAAGCGTCGAACAGGGGGGGTGTGGGAGGATCTGCGGCAATGCGAAGACGCGACGGAAGACTACTTCAAGGAGAAGTTGCGCATGTCGCCACGGGTGTTCTGGGAGATAGCGGAAGCTTTGTCTCCCTTCCTTCAACGGCGTGTCACTTTGTATAGGGAGCCCCTCCAGCCTGACCTCATTGTAGCGTTCGCTTTGTACAGATGGGCGTCGGGGGAAACGTACGAGAGCGGGACGTGCAGCTTCGGCATTGGCAAAAAGTCAGGGTTGGTGGTTGTGCGAGATGTAACTTCGGCGTTGCTGAGTGCGTACCACGACAAGATATCATGGCCAACGGGGCTGCAAAAGGTGGTCGTCTTGCGCGCTTTCGCTTACAAGGGTTTCCCCAACTGCCATGGCTGCATCGATTGTACCCACATCTTCATCGACAAGCCAGCCAATTGCCCCAGAGAGGACTACTACGACAGAAAACGTCGTTTTTCTGTCCAGACCCAGGTGGTCGTCGATCTGAACTTGCGCGTGCTGGATGTGTTCGTCGGATACCCGGGGAGTTGCCACGACGTGAGGATCGTCCACCTGTCCAGTTTGTGCGCGCGCGGAGGCAGGGGAACTTTTCACGGGGCCGCCTGTTTGCTGCCTTTCGGTGTGTGGACGAACGGGTATCTACTGGGCAACAATGGTTACCCCCCCTCGGAATGGGTAGTCGTCCCCTACGGCGGTGTATCACAACACCCGTCGGAGATTCGTTTCGACAACAAGCAGAAGACGGCGAGGGGAGCAGTCGAGAGGGCTTTCGGCAGATTGAAGGGGATGTGGAGGTTGTTCCTTCGCTCCCACAAGACGAACATGGAGACGTTGTCGCAGCAATTCGTCTTTGTCTGCATTCTGCACAACATACTCATCGACGCGGGCATCCCGTTCGACGACAATCTGCTGTGGGAGGTCGGGCCGGACGGTGTTCGTCGCAGGGTGGACCTTGGGATGCACCGCCCGTTGAGGCAGATGTGTATGGAGTCGTCGACGGGGGATGCGTTGTTCCTGCGGGATGCACTGGCGGAGCGAATGGGTACGCAGTGAAGACAGCCAGTCTTTGGGAGCGGGCGGCATGCAGCCGCTGAGAGAGAGAGAGAGAGAGAGAGAGAGAGAGAGAGAGAGAGAGAGAGAGAGAGAGAGAGAGAGAGAGAG